ATAGGGTAGGAGAAACAGAAGGGAAGGCACCAACACACAAGTGTGTTGAGTGCGATTTCCTTCTGTTGCCCGAATAGCGGGTGGGATCATCATTGGCATTCAAGTAAAGCCGATTTGGGCCGGCGCGCCCCTTGTCTGAAAGACACCTGGAACCTAAAGAAAGGCCTCAAGAATCGAAAAACAACAAAAGGAGAGAAAGAACCGAAGAGCATGAAAAAACATGCAACAAAAGCACATGAACTTGCGCCCTACCTGAAGTATTGTGCTGAATCCCGCCTGTGAATACTTAGACGCATGTTTCCAAGATGGTGCAAATCCAGAGTTTGGATCACAGTGAGCCCTGCGGCATAGAATCAGTGGTATCGTGCATCGCCGCCGATCAATGAGAATCCAGAGAAGTTCAGGATTGCAGAACGGGAAATCAAGAGGATTCCCCCAGGATCTGGGTCTGTGCACATGCGGCGCCCCTTGACGGGGATCACACCACAGCCCTCTGTGGGACTGCGGCGAAAACACACTTTGATTGTTGCTCCTTGACTTGAAGAAACTGAATGGTGCACGAACCGAAAGGCAAGGAAGTCCGGAAAGTTGAAGGTGTTTAACAATTTGTTTCAGTGCACTAGCCGCTTACTGCAAGGAAACAACGCATTGGACAGCTTGTGAACAGTTTGGAAAATGCAGGTACGTGACTCCGGCGTCCCAGAGTCACGTCACATCCGATCAGCAGCGTCTTTGTTAGGCAGTGACTGCTGAAAGGACCACTGCCCCCCTGCCTCTTTTTTCTGCGTTGAGAAGCTATATGTTAGTAGCGATGCCAGGAGCCCTTAGTAGCAAAACCAGGGGCCCTAGTAGCGTTCTTTATGACTTAAAACTTAAAACCGTAGGCACAGGTGTGGACACACACACAAAGCCGAAAGTCACCGCTCAAGGGGAGATCAGGAGAAGGATTGGGAGAAAATTGGGGCTGTCCTGCATGTTGGGTGGGTCATGGTGTGGGAAAGGGCCAAACTGAGGTGGCGATGGTGTTGGCAAAGGTGGAGGTGGGATCGTCGGAACGACGAGGGGCAGAGTAGTGGATGAGGGGCTGCGCAGGAGGTTGTGGATGTCATCCACGGGGGCGGCGGCGGCTTGACGCAGAGAGCCAGCTACGCGATTAATGGATGAGGCTACGCGATCTCGATGTTCTTCAGGAGCACGCTGAAAGGAACAGTTCTCCATGTCCACGAAGGAGCGCAACGGAATTGGAGCGTAGTGTGAAGTCGGCGCGGCAGGATTGGCCACGACCTGGAAGGGAGGAACAGTGGGAGGCGGGAGCGACTCTGATGAGCACGGAGTGCTCGCAGTTAAAATTCTGGCCTATGACTACTTAGCCGCGTGACATGTGCATGTGACTACTTAGCAGCATGTGATAATCCGTTCTGGAATTCGATCTCAGTAAGCCATGCGGCGTGTGGTCAGCATTTTCGCGCAAGACTGAGGATCGTGGAAGGGTCAAGGGAGGATCAAGTGCAAGACCGTGGATCAGGGAAGGGTCACCCTTAAGGGCATGTGCACATGCTGCGCCCCTCGCTGGGGATCACGCCACAGCCCGCAGTGGGACACACTTAGATAAAGGCTCGCAAGAGCAAAATCAGTTGGTGAAGTTCCACTTTACGCGCATTATTTGTCAATGGCGGCTGAGTCAGTTGACTTGAAGATGTTTCAACATTGTGCTTCAGTGGCAAGCGATATTAAAGAGTTAGTGCATGTACGTTTTCACCTCCCTGGCGCGCGGTATTCGTTGGCCAGGACGCGTGCCAGGGAACCCTAGCCCCCTGCCTGCTAAATGGAAATTGAAAATTTGAGTGAGATAAAGTTGAGATAAAATGAACTATGTTGCACTGGTCGCTGTCCTTTGGTACAAGTCTAGACACACACACGAGGTCAATAATGCAGTCTCCCTCGGCGTGCATAACCGACATCGCGATCCCTTAGCTCCAAAACCATATGGACAACCCTACACACGATGTCAATTTCTAAGAACCCTGAATTGCACTCCCCAAGCTAAAGTTTAAGCTATATAGCGGCTAATCTTCTAGTCCACCCAAGCCAGTTGCCCACAAACATTTTTGTTCACCTTTGAAAGCCCCCCGGTAAAAAAAAAGTCTGGAGGCCATGCTCAAACCAACCATTCGTCGCCGCAATCCCCTTTGCATGAAAGTCTCTTCATTCTTGGAACTTTCAAAGATATGTGACTGCATTTTTGAGTCCAAAAGTTAAAAAACTATAACAAGTAAGATGCCTAGCTTCTCCACCCGAAGGATCATCTTCGTGACCGGTAGGTTGGATGTTTGCCGTAAAACAATGTGCCCAGCAACCTACAATTCCAGGTCACAACGAAAAGAATTGAGAATCAGGAGTCCGTATAAATCCTTCGCAACCAGATGGCCCTGGGTGGATGCCTTGTGAAAAGTCTGCGTTGAAAAAATGCACAGCGTGAGGGTAGTGAGTCGTGAGTAGTACTCCCTGCGTCAAGAAAGTTTCAGTCGCAACTTTGATGCGGAGGAGGCTTGCGGATCTTTTGGCTCTTTGTCCGATCTCTTCTCCGCATTCTCTCGCGATCGCTTCGGAGATGTTGCTGTGCTGTGTAAGCAGGCCAGGCGGTGTTGTTTGTGCCCCAAATCAGAAGAAAGGCTTGGGTGACCTGTTCCACGCAGGTTCCTTTTCCACGTCGACTTCGATGGGTGCAAGATCGATCTCTTCTTGTAATTAACTTCTGTTGAGTTTGCTCGTTTGGATATCAACTTTTCCTCTTCTGATCGTCTCCTGATCTGCTCTGACAAAGTTCTTCTTCCGCCTGTTTGAGCTTGATCTGAGACCATAGTTCGTTGGGGGCATTTGGTAACAGCTTTAGTATTAGGACATCTTAATACCTTTTCTGCACTGAGCCCAGTGCAGCTACCGGCGGCTTTTCTAGATTCGGCTCTGGTGGCATGTCCGGAGTTGCGGGAACATGCGTTGTACCTGTCCACAGTGGATGTAGCGAGGCGTCCCCCGCATTCTTGGGCACTCAGGGATACAACATTCTAGCCAATTGCTTGGATCTCCCTTCTCTGTCCATTACCGGCAAACTCTACACCTGCTCTCAATATCCTCCAATGCAGTAGGATAGTAACGCACCGACATGCGCGAACATGGTGTCACGAGAGAATGCAATAGATCTTCTGCAATCTATTTGCTTCGTTTGAGGTTTCTTCGTCCACAGCCTGATCGTTTGCCTTCCCTTCGACGTTCGACTCTGCAGTTTTGCGCCAAAAAGGCTCCGGTTTCACCACCACTTTTTCCAGTTCCTGAAAATGTGTCCAGCACCAAGCAATGTGAGAAAGCAAAGCAAACAGCATTAAGGTTCTCACTAACTCACCAGTTAGGGGGCCATCCTAACTGGTGAGCGTGGAGCCTTAAGTGCAGCGAGTGAGACAACAACATCAAAAAACAAATGTGAGCATTGCGGCATGATGCACTCTCTTTAGCTTGCGTGTTTGCCAGCCCCTACGCGTTTGCGTTCCTGCTTGTGTGCGTGTATGCCCGTGCGTGCGCTCTTCCTTGCAGCTTTTGCCTGGTTTTTCCTGGCTTGGCCTTGTTTGCTTGCTGCCTTGCTTGCTGGCCTGGCTTTCGCTGTGGCTTGGCTTCGATTCTGCCTTGAGCACCTTTTTGTGGGCAGACTTCCAAAGGGCAACAAAAAGAAACATTTTGTTTAAATTTAACGTGGTAACACTCAGAACCCAAGCGCACGATAAGAAACCCAAAGTGAAGGTGCCCCCACGCTTCAAAAGGCGCGCCCAAGGTGCAGTTTTTGATCCACGCACCTTGATAATTTGTTGTTGACGTTTTTGATCCACGCACATGCCCGGACCATCACTCAAAGCCCGAAAGCGGTGTAAGCGCAAGCAGGTTTAATATTTGCATCTTCAGTATGCGGCGAATACTGGTAGGTCCCACACAGACCAAGAACCCTGTCATCCTCAAACAACATGTTTTTCGTCGTATCAATTTTTTGGTAACTCGCCCAATCGTTTGTTTGCTTCACTTTCTTTGCTTGCCGTTTGCTTTGCTTGTTGCTTGCTTCGCTTGCTGCTTGCTTCGCTATCTTGGCTCGCTGCTTGCTTTTTGGCTGCTTGCTGTTTTTGCTTTCTTGCATCGCTTCCTTTCCTTCATTTGCTGGGCTATTTTAGGGTTTAAAATGATTTATATAAGATGCAATTGTTGATTGTGTTGATTGTTGCTTGTTGCTATGTATTTCTTCCCTCGTCCCTTCATTCACGCCTTCTCAACTTCCTTCTCCCCTTCCTTCCTTATTTGCTTGCGGTGTACTGATCCAGATAGGTTCCAAACACCAAAACGCTCACTCAGAACCTTCGCAGTAGAGAGCGTGAAGAGCCAGATCTACCAGTTAATAAACAACAAGTGCATCTACATTCTAGAGGGCAGGATGTTTGCTGGAAGTGTTGTTTCACGCTGGAGTATATTCATCATGGTTTCTGCCTGGCACAAAGGCAGCTCCAGCGACTACGGTGGACACCGAGGCCTCACAGTTACCAATTGCCTGTCATGAGGTGTGTTGAAATTGATCCACTTTTTGAGGACTGAACAAACGAGCAAATTAGCTACTAGGAAGAAGCTACTAGGGGCTCCTGGCCTTACTAGAAACAAGAAACAAGGAGCAAGAACGCTACTAGGAGCAAAGGGCATCGCTACTAGGAGCAAGGACGCTACTAAGGGACCCTGTGAGGTCTCGGTGGCAAAAGCTCTTTACATTTTTGTTCATACCTGAACAAACGAGCAAATTCATAAGTTTCCTACACAGAACCAACAAACGAGAATAGTCGGTGTTGTTCCGAACACTGACCGCTGGACGACGCTTCAGATTCAAAGAATCACGCAAATGCATCATGTGCTGACCGCAGTTTATTTACAAACTCCAGGCTTGCTTACTGCTTTTGGGATACGTTCATAGCCCAGTCATGGCCGTGCCGGAGTTGAATACCTACGTAGGACTAGCAGTTGCTTGGGCCCATCAGTGTAGTACCTTTTTTGTGCCGCCTAAAGGACACCCCTTTGCAGATTTGTTCCCGATCGATGGGCTAGGTTGTATTGGGCGCTTTTGCTGCCTTGGTGGCCGTCTTGATTCAACAGTGGTGGCAAAATAAGCCGCTATTAGCCACAAAGTTCGAGGAGCCAACAGCTCTCCCCAAGGACTTTCACAGCGGCGCCAGAATCCTTGTGGCGAAAAGTCACGCTGAGTGGAGTTTCGCCCGCAAGACCTTTCGCTTTCTCGAAGTCTTTGTGAATATTGCTTGGGTCTTCGGCAGCATGGCGGTTCGGCCCTATGCATGGCTTCCAGTGGTGTTTATGGCCTATGCTTTACCTGCTTATTGTTTGGAATGGACAGTTTGCCAGCTGTGGGAGCAACCGGCATTGGCCTTCGCTTTGCATGGCCTACCTGCCGCAGTTGCACTCATTCGTATCGTGCTGCTGTTTGCTTTTACCCACATGGTCAGAGCAGAAGCGCTAGGATTGGGCATTCTGCGAAACCCCGATGGTTGGAAGATAGGCTACAGGATCGAGTGGTTGCAGGGGCAGAAAGTCCACTTTCCATGGCCCTTGTGCTTCTTGGAGGAATTGTTGCCTGAATCTTCGGGAGAGGGCGTGGTGGGTGGGTATTTCTTAATACGTACCGGTTGCTTCTTACTCTACGTTCTGATCCTTGCTTCCGTGGTTTGCTTCAACACTTACAAAGGGCTTGCTTCATATACAACGTCTGCGCAGGAGCGGGTTTTCACACAGAACATGATGCTCTAGTTTACAGGAAGTCGGTACCCATTTGTCCCCACTAGTGAGCTCCTCTTACTTTGAACAATTGTTCATCAGCAGCCCGCGTGCCAGGAGCAAGCCTTACAGGCTGAAGAGGAGAAGAGCTTGAAACAAAAAGAGAGGTCAGAGCAAGCTGCGATGGTGAAAGATCTTCGGATGGGCCGGGACTCTGCTGTAAAGCAAGAAACTGCATTCTGGATCTACTTCGATGCAGTCTTGGTGGTCTATGACATGATTTCAGACCTTGTGACGGTCTGGACCCTGCTTGCAGTGAAGAGATATGAATTAGCTTCCATGATGGTCTTCATATTCATCCGGAGTGTACTTCTTCAAGTTTCCTCAGGCAAACCCCGGACCTTCATCGCAGATGTGCAGGCGAGCGTCCACCGTGGGATCCGCCACCAAAACTTCTTAGATGCTTAGTTGAGTGGTTGAGTTTATCAACGCCTTTGATACGTGTTTGATCCTTTTTGACTCAGCTGTCACCCTAGAAGCTTGGGTCCTTGCACCGGCAACAAAGGATATTTTGCAAGAGGAGCGGGGGTTTGAGGCCCCCTTCAGCCTGATGTTGACCTCATACTCGTTGCTGGTTTGTGTCAATGATGTATCCTCAGCTCTCAGACAGAGTATCAGCATTCTCGTCTCCGCCTACGGTCTTGCAAACTTTATTTACATACAGCTCGACTTGAACCTGGTCGATGAGGAAGAGATCCAAAGAGCAGGGGTTCTTGAAAATGCAGTTGAAGAGGTCATACATGCTAGCAAGAGTTGCTAAGCGGAAAGAACTTCAGGTGATTGGGGCATCTATGGAAGTAGGGACTGACCGAATTGGAATGAATTGGATGTTGTTTTCCTATTACTCGTAGCATCCATTAGCCAGATTTGTGTTTCGGCAAGTCTTACCCAACCACAGAAAGGTGGAGCAAGCACGCTTGCCAATACCAGGGAATCAATCCCCGCAAATGTCCTCGGTCACATGTGGCAGAGGTCATTGGATTCCCCTGGCAAACTTGAGTGTCATGAATTGAAAGGTCCAAAGGGATTGGCTTCATTGACACTTTATGAGTTTCCTTTTGAGTTTGACCTGTCTCATTGTTTCTGACCCCAAGGTTGGAAGAGCTGGATCTTCGGCTCCGATCAAAGCAACTCACGCACGGGCCTCGTTCTGTTCAGCGAGGAATGAGGCAAGTGGCTTTTGCATAGCTTCGCCTATTTTGAGATGCCCGGATGTGCCAAATGCTATCCTCGGAACGTTTTTGTGAAAAAGTAACTATATATCTGGAAAAGCTGACAAGATGTTCAATGTCTTCGTCTCTTCCTGTTCGAGCAGTCTCAGCAACTGGGCAAGCACCTGCTCCTACGAGATCAGAGATCCGATCTCGGGTGACCCCATTGATTGACTGTGTGTACTTCGTTGAAGTCTGGAAGTTGGCTGAGTGTAATTGGAACTTGATATGGAGATGTGATGAGATATGCTTGATTGACAAGATTTCGACAGTCATAACAAACACGTTCTTTGCCGCGTGTCCTTGCAATTTAGGATTGGAGGTGTTGCAGGAGTTGGTCGACTCACAGTACGGTTGTGTCTAACCATGTTATTGATTGGGCAGCAAACTGGTAGGGTGTTTGGTGCAGAAAAGAATACCTTAGCAATGTGGGTTTTCGAACGGTTTCCCCAGTATGTCTACGAGACATTCCGAGACCAGATTTCAGCAAGTGAAACCAATACTGTCTTACGACAAAGCTTGAAAGACGAACATTGGACCCTGAGAAGCCACATGAGTTTCCTGAACTGAGCAAGCGGCAGAAAAGAGCAGATTATCGCTTGGTTTTGGCTAGCCTGCCTCTTTGGTGAAGATCTAGCCTGAGATGAACACGGCAAACTAGAACACTAGCCACGAAATGACATTCGACAAAATGCAGAGAGTATGACTGCAAGTATGACTGTAAAAGAGCTACCCGTTCTCAATTGCGACTGTCCATCACACCCTGAGATGCTCAGTGCACTTGTGATTCGCAGGTGTTTTGTGGCAGTGCCCGAGTACACGATGAATCTTTGCCTCGACCGGTGTTGCCTTTAGAAGGCTGATGAACTAGAAGTCCCAGCCTCAGTCTGTGAAAGGCATACGGAGTCTGAATGATGTCAGTCAGAATACATGTTTGCTCCCTTTAGAGACGATAATGATAAATCTAGCAAACTTTCGTGGATGATTTATACAAGAAACGGTTGTCCAAATTGGACACCGTTCAGTCGGCACTTGTTACTAGAAGCGATGCACTTGTTATTAGTAGCGTCCTTGTTACTACTAAGATAAAAGTGTCCTTGCCGTATATTGTGATGGATGTGTCAAGATCGTAAAGTCTCCTGAAGTACGATGAGCTGAGTCCTCGAAGTTGCTCAAGCGCAAGAGACAATCGTGAATCTAAGGAAGTTTGCGAGCAAGAATGCGACAGGCGAGGCAGTCTTCCTGTTTTGCAGCGAGAGGTTTTCAGATGTTTTCAGTGGTGGCATGTTCTGTTTGGTGGATACTTGTTTTCGAAGAAACTAGGTGGTTCTCCAGTATCTTGACAAACTTCCTGTTTCTTCGCGCGTCAAAAGGGACAGCTTTGGCTTCGATGTGGCATGTGCCTAGCAGGTGGCATAAGTGGACACTTCATTTCTGAATCCTCAAGTTCAGTGCTGTCCCAAAGTCTGATAGTCACTAGTCACAGAGGGCTGCCGACGAGGTTCGGATTTCCTTGATCCAGTGGTAGTTGGTATGCTGTTTGGAGGCTGGTTGTTGTGGACTCTGGCAGGATCTGACATGGGCCATTCTGCGGTGAGCAGCCGGGCCAGACCTGCTTGAAGAGCTGGAATGGAATTGCCGGATAGAACCGAAAGATTGCAAAGAGCGCGGCTGATTGCAGGGTTTGGTTCTTTACTGATCTTTGAATTTTGTGCTCCTCATTTTTCAGCCTCAGCACAATCCTTTTGTGATGATTTGGACCAAGAGTGAACCTGTGGCCTGCAGAGCAGATTCGCATCCGAAGTCCTTCAAGTCCTCAGTATTATTCCTCAGTATTTGTGATTCTCCTTTGCTTGTGCTTACCGTTGGGCTCCGGGCAGCAGCTGACATCGCCGACTTTGAGAATGACACCGGATGGAAAGCGGGAGGCACACGGAAGCAATATTCCGGCTCCGTGAATGTGGAGCCACCAATGGAAGCATACCAAGGAAGGCGCTATATTCATGTACCTGAATTCGGCTTCTGGCAATGCAGACCAGGCAAGCAACACAGAAATAGAGAATGACATGGAAACTCTCAACAGTTCTCGTCAAAGTCTTGCTGCTGGTTTTTTGACAAACGTAGAGCCATTTGCACAAGTCTTCATTTCAGAAGCGGGTTCCTACAAATACGTGGGCAAGTGGGAAACTTGTACCGCCCTTCACCCACGCACATGCACAGCTTGCACACTGGCTTTAGTTGAAGACAGCTGGCTCTAAGGTGGGTCACTTTGCCTATTTGTGTCCTAGTGGCCCAGACAGCGGGCTTCAGTCGCTTGCAAGAGTACAGGGCATATACGGTGGTTATCCCAGCCTGTTTGTTGAATTTGGTTGATCTAGTAAGATGCAATAGGTGCTGCCGGAGAGAGTCCAGATTTGCAAAGAAGTTGTTTGATTCGGATGAATGAAGAGGCATCACGTTTTTGAAACGGCAGTTTGCAGAGTAAATCTCACTCAATTTGACTGGCTTTAGCAGTATGCTTGTCAATCACTGCATTCCTTGTTCAAGCTCTCAAGGATTAGTTTTGGGCATCGCATGGCCCTGCTTGCATTGGCAACTGCATATTGCGAGTCGGTGATAGCTAGTATAATTCAATGCTTGGCAAGAGCCCCAAGGCCCCAAGCAAATGCCACATTTGCTTCTAGAGAATGGCTTGAGAATAGCAGCTTCCGCATCATTGACTCTTGCAGTTTTGGCACGGCTGAGCATCGCCATTTTGGGAAAAGCCGGGTACTTTCCAGATTCTTTCCTCGGAGAGCTCGTGGTTCCATTCCCTGCCCCACCGAAGTCTTGGACCTCCAGTCTGGTAGCCGTGGCAAATCCGCCTTTATCGATTGTGGTTTGAGAGCAGTCACGACCTTTTCGCAGTTCCATGTTGTGTTGCTCCGCGGGCCCAAAGGTTTGCTTACAAGACAGACTTGGAGCGTCCAGTTTTCGCATGGTTTGGCTAGAAATGCCAACTACGCATTCAAATTCAAGAGGAAACTTAAGAGGAATTGGCTCGCAGACATCCCTGCTAGCAGCCTTGCACTCCTTTCGATCCACATTGAGAAAGCCTGTTCTCGCATCGAATGCTTGGCCAGCAGCTCTCAGATTTCGCTTGTTGAGCACGTAGTGAAAGGACCGAATGCGTGTGCAGATTGGGCCGCACTCTTCAAAGGGCGTGAGGTCACACTTGCTTTGCCGTGCCCTGCAGTGGTATCCAGACCTAGCTAGGCAAGCAAAACGTAAAAAGTTTTCGACCTCCAAAGCCTGTGTTGGAGACGATGAAATGCCATCCGAAACGAGTCGCACTTGTGAGTGTCTCAACATAAAAACCTGCGCAATCCTTTGCGGCAATTGTCGTTCTATTTTCAGGTCTCAAGAGGGAGTGTTAGTAGTCAATTTTTAAATGTGCACTACATGGTGTTGATTCACAAGTTGAGTGTGCCCAAGATCGTTGGCGGAATTGCCAAACTGCCGAACTGCCAATTGCCACTTGATTCGTGCCTTTTCTGTTGCTCGACTTCAGCGTAGGTCATTTGAACGTGTGAAGTTGCAGCTTTTTGGTGGAAACCTTACATCTCAGTTCCACGAAAATGCGTGCTTTGCTGCTTAGCCCTGAGTCTGGAGTGGGAAACGCATGCTTTCTCCATAGTGTGGAAGTGGAATGCGGATTTGAAGAGAGAACGCTCATGTGGCGATTCCACAAGGCACTCGTGCTTCAATATACTGCGTTGACAGGAGATATAGATGGGGTGGGAGTTTGGAATGCCCCCACAAGGCCGTGTACAGTGTTACCCTGGTTTGAAGTTTTGCGGTCCGTTGCATGTTTGCACGCCTACAGACAGCATAGATGACCATGGCATACCATGGCTAGTTTCAAGAATTGTCGCAGATATATGTTTTTCGCTCTGGTGAATCGACAGCTTGCAAGGTGCGCTCAAGCCCAAAAGCACCGTGGTTCGGGTTGATGCAGGCGGTTCAGACAGGCTGCGCAGTTGGACCTTCACTGGTGACGTTTCAAGCTTTTAGTCTTGGAAGCATTTCGGGACGGAAAAGGCTGCCGCTTCAAACATGCTGGTGACATTCGCGCACCATGGTCCAGATCTTTAACATAGATACGGACGAAGAGCATGACGACAGCCTGTCGGAAGCAACTGATCCAGAAGAAGCTTTCGCCGCTCAAGGCACGCGTCATCGCCATCAGCAAGGAAGGTCCTCGAGTTCGACATACCGGACGTACGAGGCACAGCCATCAGCAGGTGTCAAGATGACGCCAAAGATTCCTCCGTCATTCGATGGACAGTCATCCTGGTTCGAGTTTGAAGATTTGATTGATGATTGGGTGAACATCACCACATTAAGCGCCGAAAAAATAGGCCCATCATTGAAGAACGCTCTAACCGGAAACGCCGAATACTACAAAAAGATGCTCGACAATGAACAGCTTCGTCGTGAAAGAAACGGTATTACGTATTTCAAGGAGACGTTGCGCCCATACTTTGTCAAAGGAGCAAATCATGTTTTTCTTTGGCGTTTCATGCAGCTCTTCAGGACCTGGCGCGGAAACGGGGAATTTGTCAGCTGGATCGCTCGTTTTGAAGTCGCTAGCAAGAAAGTCATGGAAGCCTTCATGGGCTTGTTAGATCTTTCGACTGTTCCACAGCCTGATGATTTCAACTTTACTGATATCCTCTCGCAACAGCAGTACATGCTACTTCAAGGACTCCAAGATCCCGCAGAAAGAAGAGAAGCTGCAGAAAGAATCCGTTCTGAACACATTGATGCCTTGAAACAAGCACATCGTGACACCTTCCCATTGTCTGACAACCTGATGTCACTTATTTTCTTAGTTCAGTCGGATCTCAATGAACAGCAAAGAGAAAGGTTTGTAGCCAGCATGGCCTTGCGTCAGATCAACATGAACAACTACACATACTTAGGTGTCAAAGGCTTATTCCTTGATCTCTTTTGCGGAACCGCCACAGGAACTGCCGATCCTTCGATCCGCAGGCAAAGAAGATCCACTTTCCTTGTCCTCGATGAAGGAGACTTGGAAGAAGAATCCGGATACTGGGTGATGGATCAAGAAACAGGCGAAGAAGGATTTTGTGAGTTTGTTCTCAGAGTCCAAATTTTGGGTGCTAGCAGCCAAAGGCGGCAAAGGAAAAGGCCGCGGAAAAGGTAGAAGACCCGGCTTTGTCAGCTGTAGAGGCAAAGGTGCAGGGGCACATTATGCAGAGTACCCTGACAACTCAGGTTTCTATGGAAAAGGCAAGAAAGGCAAGAACGGTGGAAAGAAAGGATTCAAGGGAAAAGATGCATTCAAAGGCAGAGGAAAAAGCAAGCAACAGAATCCCTTTCAACAATCCAATGTTGCAACCACCGAAGAGCCTTCATCAGCTCAACCATCCACTACTGCCGAAGAAACCTGGAGTGCACATGAAGCAAACTGGTCATGGGACTCGTATGGATACCACACAGACCAGTACTATCCTGAAGATGTCTGGCAGGCAAATGAAGCCTCTTGGCAACGATGGACATACTTTGCGGACGGACAGATGGACAGACCGCAAGATGAAGAGCACCATAGCTCAGAGCCAAGGCCTGGCCAGATGAACCAGTCAGCAGATTTCCGGTATTATGGAACACATGCAGAAGAAAGGACTGGTGAAGAACATGTTTCACATCAGTATCACCTAAACCCTGCCGGTAGCAGCACAGACTACCGATATTCCGGTTGTTCTGAAGTGATTGATCCACGCTTCTGTTCTTCTTTTGTCAACTTTGACGATGGATTTCACCATGCTTTGCTTTCTGAATACATCGACCTGAGGTACAGTCCGACCTACGTGATCATTGACAGCGGCTGTACCAGAGCAATGGGTTCAAGGACCGCCATTATGCGTCTAGTGACGGCATGTAAGAGACACTACAATGCATCCAAGATTGATTTCTCTTTTGAGCCTTCGTCAAGTCGATTTTCATTTGCAAATGGTGAACAGTCCAATGTCCGAGAGAAGCTGGTAATCTACTTCCAGAACGACCAGTCACCCACAGGGTGGATCACAACAGCGATAGATATCTTAGACCAGGGCGATGTTCCGATCCTTTTTAGCGTTGAGCAGCTCAGGAACCTTCGCATGTCTATTGAGCATACTCCAGTCGGTGACTATTTGACTTGTCCTTTGTTCGGTCTGAAGCGATTTTCGCTGCCAGTGAGCACTTCGAACCATAATGTCCTAGACATCATGATGTTTGCCAGCTCAGTTCGTAAGCCGAACCACAGCTTTACTGCAATCAACCCTTCGTGTGCAGCCTGTCCTGCCTGCAGTGGAAAGCATCGTAAACACACATACAAAGGTGGATGCAAGAAGGCAGAGACATCCGAAGTGAAGGAAGACAAGTCAGCAGCCGATATTCCGGCTAAGAAGCCAGAGAAGCACATTGCAAGTGGAGATGCCAAAGTCGATCCGCCATCGAAGCTTATTTCGATGCCTCCACCGGCTAAGAAGGTGACACCTCCGACATACCGGAAGACAGAAAAGTCGCCTGATTTTGGTACGCCATTTGAGCATTCGAAGATACCAAGTTCGAGCTCAGGAGCCGAGAAACCTGACGTACCTCCAGCAGACGCTGACATGCCGGTGAAGCCTGATCCTCAGGAAGAATCAAAGGAAGACGTGAAGCCTATACCAACTACAGTGCATCGAGAGAAGAAAGCTCCTAAGGTTTCTGTAACATTGCCGTTAGCACTGCAGAGAATCCATGAAAAACTGTCTCATCCAACCGAACTCTTGAAACGGCATTTGAAGCACTATCACATGTCAACTGAGCAGTTCAAGAAACGCACATCAGCTTTAAAGATTCCTGCTAAGATCTATGAAGAGTATGAAAAGGTAGTCAAGCAGTGTGACACATGTCAGAAGTCCAAAATTGCACCTTCAAGATCAAGAATTTCAGGTATGAGAAGTGAAACGTTTGGAGAACTCACCTTTGTTGATCATGGTGAACTAGCTATCAATGACAAGTCCAAACTTCTTTTCCTGATCATCTATGATGGTGCTACTTCTATGACCACTGCTTACGTTTGTAACGGCAAGACGGAAGCAGAAACAATTGGCCATCTTTTGGAGTATTTTGAGACATACCAGTTGAATCCTAAGTATCTTGTCGGTGATCAAGGCTTCATGGGTACTGAACTTGAATCCTTTTACAATAGATAAGAATATCCGACCGATCACTTTAGGACCTGGTACTCCATGGCCAAACAGAGCCGAAGCAGCTGTTCGCATGTACAAAAAGCAGATCACCCTGATGCTTAAGGCCGTGACTGAGGATCCATCCAGATACGAGATCACGTATCGTCAACTCCTCAGACAAGCATCGCTTGCCAGAAACTCCATGGTTACTTTTGGTGGAGTATCTCCATTGGAGATGGCATTTGGAAGGCGACCTGCAGATCTTTTGTACCCAGAGAATATGACACCAGAACAGCTTACAGCTTCACTTCCTTCTCCTGAGAAAAGCATAGATGCCCTCAGAACACTTGCCATGAAGTCTTACCTAGAAGCAAAACAATCAGACGACTTGAGACGAGACATTTCCGCAAGACTTCAGTTGGGTGATGGTCCATTTTACCCTGGTGATAAAATCTACTATTGGACAGAAGATAAATCCAAGGTAAAGTCTGATGGAACCCATAGTGGTAAATGAATCAAAGGCAAGGTCATTAGTTCTGACGGCAGTATGGTTGGTATCGATCTAGGCACCAGAATTCTAAAGGTCAACATCAGCAAGGTCCGCAAGGACATCAATCCGATCGAAGATGTTGAGGTGCCACTCGACCCGGTTGCACTACTAAGCTCTGAGAGTGCACGGACCGATATTCCGGTCACTGACCACGCAAGTTCTCTAGTCCAGAGCGACGGAGCCCAGATCGGTGTGGAAGGCTTCACATATTCCTCTTATGCATGGCAACCCGTCATGACTGGCAAGATTGATTTCTTAGAACTGTTCGCAGGTTCAGCACGGTTGAGTCAAGTTGCTGCCAAGAATGGTTTGCGTGTTGGACAACCTATTGACCTAAGAACCGGATTTGACATCTTGACCAGTGACGGTCGTAAGAGGACGATGGACATCATCGAGAAACAGAAGCCTAAAGTCATCTTTATGGCGCCGCACTGTGCTCCTTGGAGTCAGATGACCAATATCCATGATCGCGTAGCACGAGA